TCAATGAGAGTAGTGACTCATCTACCAGTCAGAAAAGATGACACCCAGAATAACAAACTTATAAAAAGAGGGAGCAGACTGTGCCCCGGGCCCTTGATCCAGCGGAGCTTTCGAGTGAAGCAGATCTGACCCACAGCTGTGTTGTTTACTTATTCTCTCAAATAAAAGAAGTTGAGGACTACACTTCCTCTGTGGTCCTTTCTCAAAACAAAGAACACGACAAGAGTTTGACACTAGAAGGATGTTTTCACATTAATTTGCTGAAATTGGAAAGTTTTGAAAGTATTGAAAATCTGATTTTAAGGGGGGACTATGAGCATGATTTTTGACATCACAAAAAAAAAAGAATCAATCAATCCTGATCTAGAATGCAACGTATGCAAGTGTGATTGCAGTGCACATACACTGAGAATGGACTTTTCTCAGTCATCCCTAACTTCAAAAGCTTTTAGTATCTTTTAGTTAATTGCTTTGGTTTTCGAGCTGACAAATTTAGCGTTTGGTTCAGTCTTACCACTCTCACTAATCTAATTTCTTGGCAGACAGCTGATTTAATTGAAAAAGCTCTTACCAACCCACTGTACAGATCGGAAATTGGCAACTAGCTGGTGAACCTAGTGGACCGTTTAGCAGCAGAGACAGAGTTGGTGGAGACAAAACCAAAGCTTAAAGGAGAGTAAATACTGAACCTTCAATAGGTGGACATAAACACAACTTGAATAAATGTTACTCTGTACCTGCTGGATGTGTAAATAGCTGTTACTACTATGTATGATGAAATTGTGTGAGAAAGTGAAAATTGCACAAAAAAAATATTTGTTTGTATAATTCATTAAATATCCAGTGAGAAAAAAGTTTAGAGGGTTGCATGTCACATATTTCTGCATCTTCACAACTAGAGAACTAGAACTAAAATGATTGGCCAAATTTGTTTCCAATTTGCGGAAAAGTTACTGTGTGACTTGAAAAAAATTACAAGGTTCTTTGTGTTAATTGTTGGGATTACAACTTCCTGTGGGCATAATGCAGCTTTAAAGTTGCAGTAAACAGTATTTTTATAGAAAAACTTGATCAAATGGCATCTAGGCTATGTCAAAGTTGTTTCTTGTACTGAAGAATACGCATAGAATTATCACCCACTTCAAAAGCAATTTAGCCTCTTTTAGCTAATTATTTTTTTGCAAGCTGGTTTCCAGAAGCAGCTAGCATCTGTTTTTATTGAAAAAGCTCAGATAAAGCCACTGTACACTACCTTCCCTGCACCAAACAGCAGACAGTTAGCAACTTGAAAATAGAGGAGCATTTAGCATGTAAAGAGTCGAAGAAGAGTACGCATACATACATACATACATCAGTTGCTTCATATCCCCTTATTTGCTAACTGAATCAGAAAAATATACATATTAGCAGGGTCAGAGCCAGATGTTGTAAACATTCAGGGCTTGGCCCCAGCCTAGGGGCTGGACCGTCCCTGGTCCATTTACAGGAGTTATACGCACTGTTTTTCAAGCCAAATGACACAGAGTTTAGGTTCTTTAAAAATAACTTAATAATAAAGGAGTTGGGGCTTTAGGAGTAAACATTTGGGGCTGGAACCCTAGAAGCCACCCCCTGCTCTGCCCATGCATATTAGAACAAGATATGATTACATTTTACAGTTTTACATTGTGTACTAGTAGCGTTACATAAATGGATACTTTTATAGAGATGCTGTAACTCCTACAGACATAAAGAGTAGTACAGTGGCAATAAGTGAAGAGCCTTAAATTGCAAGCAGCTATCATATACTGTTCTCCTGTTACAGTAGACACAGAGGAGGTAATACACGAGTTCTCTGTGTTTGTTGGAGCAACCACAAACCAGACACAGTATTTACAGCTCTCAGTTTTCATTTCAAACCACTCATTTAAATGAAAGTTTTATGATTTACAGCCAGAGAAGATGAAAAATCAGCGCTTAAAAGTTGGTTTTGGAGCCTCCTGAAAAAAAAGTTAACCGGCTGTGCGGGAATCCAATTAAACTCTTATTTAACAGACTGAGTCATATGATTGTGCTGTTGATCTCATTTGACTAACAACAGATTTGCTTCCCATCAGAACGGCCCTGTAGTGTGTATATATATAGAGAGAGTCTTTTTCACACTTCTCGTCACCTACAGAACAAAGCACAGCACAGTGGCCCTCAGAATGTTAATTATTCCTTATCAAATGAATGACTGTTAGCAGATGGAGGTAGCATTGGTTTGTGATTAGAGAATTTGTCAGCCAAGGAGAGATCAGAGATGTGAAATAAAACACACCCTGAGACTGGAATGACATGCTGTTGTGGAAGGATAAAGCACTGCTCCTGCCGTGGAGATACATAGAAGAAGATGACTGTACCTTTCCTCCAAGGAGCCAGGATGGAGAATGACTTCTGCCAGCGGATTACCAGCCCGGCCTTTTTCCTCTTCACACTCATGTTGCTGTAACAATCCCTGAGCTTGAGGAAAAGTCAAATGATGTGGGGTTGAAAAAAGAAGAAAAACGTCCTTAGAGATTCCTCTTCATGTCTTTAAAGAAATTAATTCTGCCTCGACGTTCAGTTGCGGAGAAGGTGTCTGTTGTTGGAGGCATGGAGGGTGTCCTTGAGCAGGGTCATCATACCTGTGTTTCCTCGCCAGCTGGACTGCCTGAGCACTTGTGTGTGAGTTTGTGAGAGATCCAATTCCTCCAGCTGAGAAGAGTAAAAGGGGGCCGGGCTCCACTGGTAGAGTCATGAGAGGAGGAGGAGGATGAGGATGAGGAGTGGCAGCCAAGCAGAGGGAGAGAGGTGGAGGAGGAGGAGAAAGAGGAAGAGGAGGAGGAGGAGGAGGAGGAGCAGGAGGAGGAGGAGGAGGCAAAAGTCTAAGAGGAGGATTTACACTCAGCCTGAGGGCAAATGGGGAGCTACAAGAGGTGGAGGAAGAGTGAGAATGGTTAAAAAAGGGAAGAGGCTGATGGTTCCTATTCACATCAATTACAGCTTTTGACAGAGTGAAGTTCACCTAAAGCTACCCATTGTACAGAACACATGTTCTTATGTCAACCATACACAGTGACAGTATACAAGCAAAATAATTCACAATTTTATTGTTACTGTTAAATATTTCAACCACAACAGAACAGTAAATGAAAACAGTGTGCTCCCATTAAAGTCCTCTCTTTAAAACAGTTACTCCATCTGTCAGAATTAGTAGGTCTATACAGAACAGAATTAGTTATAAACAAACAATATTTATTCAATATTATAATGATAATAATAATTTATTATTATTATTATTAATTTTCTGTAGAACCTTAAATTATTCAATATAAAATAAAGAAAATAATAAAATATAACACTGGCTATCGTAATTAGAACATTCAAGGAGTTAACATTTGTTCCCTTTGCCTTAGAAGTGAGAAATTGAGCAGTGGAGGTTAATATGTTACTCAGGAAATTTACCATGAAGATGAATCGCAAATCCACAATGTTAGAATATGTATTATGACCATGTTGATAATATTTCTACACACATATGTATACATACATCTAGTCTTGTACAGTCTTTCGACCACTATTTGAGCACTTTCTTTGCCATTAATGGATTTTTGGTTTTGTTGCTTTATGAAGGAATATTTTTGAGTGTGTTGAATGAATTTGAGTGTTTGAACTGACCACTTATTTAGTGTGTGTCTTCAACACAATACAACAGCGACAATATCACGTGAATAATTATAAAAATAATAATTAAATAAATAGTTAAAATAACAGTACTTATCTGAATATATATAAACCTACCTGTGGTATGTGCTATATGTGTGTAATCTAAGCTTGGGTTATGCAGAACCATATAAGGAGTTAGAAATGTGGGAGTGCTGAGGTCGGGTGGGTTTGCCTTCTATTAAACCCCTTGCAGAAACACAATATCACCTGAGCATCTAGCAGAGCTTTTCTTTCTATCTTCACCTAGTGTGTCTGTGAGGGAACCACTGACCTATAGTATCCGTGAAAACATCCATATGTCATTGCAGAGAGAGTGCGGGAGGGACATGAGCAATTTATTTAATTATTAACTCTTACAAGCCATGAAATACCAAAGAATGGATCAGATGACTTAATAAAGATTTCATGAAAATTGCAATTTTATTTTTTATTTTAGAAAACGTACATGAAGTGACTAAAACCATTTGTCTGAACACCTTCCTTCTACCTGTTATTCTGTAGCAGTGTGCCACCACATAAATAGACCAATTTGACTTTATTGGTTCTTCCTGTTGTTTTAAAGATTAAAAACAGAATCACTTTTTTCCAAATAGGCTACAATAAAGTTGTAAACACTGAAACGTGGGGTTTGAGAATGTTAACTTAGTGATCTGATCCAATGATGTTGGGGACTTTAAAACAAAACATTATTTTTGGGAGTGATTGGAGAAATTAAGCCTCTTTTGCAACAGCAAATGTGTTTAGAGGGAAATATAATGCAAAGCAAATTACATATTAACTTAATAGGGAAAAATTTGATATTCAACAAATAATTAAACAATGTATTTAATTTGTTTTTCACCAAAATAGGTGTCATGGAGCCGACTATTTCTCCATTCCCAAAGTTGAATTTTTTTAAGTAAATGTTGGTATGTATGCTGAAAGGAAGGTGCACATTCCTTTCGCTCATTTGATCCACATTTATGAGCTGTGACGTTGTGATGTTTGAAACATGCTTGTTGACTTGTGTTCAGTATTTGTGCTCACACAGGTTTTCTGTGTTCCCTGACCTGCTTGACCCTTTAAGAAGGAGTGTACCTTCCCTTTAAAATGTCTTGTGTGTATTGTTCTCTGCTGTAATGTCAGTCAATTTTAAAGAAAGAAAGTTATTGGTTCAATTTAATAATGTTAACTGAATAATATGTATGTTTAATTATGCCTATTAGAGAGTAAATGTGACTATTTTGTCAAATTAGGGTAGATTGAAGTCACCTGGGCCAAAGTGGCACTAATCACAGAGACTCTCCCTGATTGGCCACAGAGAGCAGGTGACAGGATATAAAACTGCTATGGCTATTTTCAAAGGGGTCTCTTGAAATGGGTTCCCTTTGCAGACAAGCCCACTTTTACTAATACTTATGCTGTTTTGAAGCAAAAAGGTGCAGTTTTTTGCATGTGGTATCCCGGTCAGGGAGCATATATGATATAATTGCTGCCAGTGAGGGGCAAATACAACTGCATCCAGTGAGGATCCTTGGGCAAGATCCTTAATGTATCAGGCCTACCTCAGCAAACATGAGAGTA